AAAAATACAGATGCTCACATTGCAGATGATATCACAAATGTGTGTGGCTTCAAGCAAACTCACAATATAGGGAGATATCTTGGGTCCATGATGAAACATGGTCGAGTAACCAAAGACCATTATGCTGATGTTGTTGCAAGAATTAGGCACAAGTTATCTGGTTGGAGTAACCAGGTCTTATCTTTTGCCGGTCGAATTACACTTTCCAACTCCGTTATTTCAGCAACTCCTATATTTCAAATGCAACACAGTCTGCTTCCTGTAGCCATTTGTGATGAAATAGAGAAGTTGCAGCGTGCCTTTATTTGGGGTGATAAAAATGGTCAAAGGAGATCTCATCTGGTTGCATGGGATAATATTTGCAAGCCTAAGAGCATGGGTGGCTTAGGGGTGATTAACCTTCGTGTCCAAAATATGGCTTTCTTTCACAAGCTTGCATGGACGATACTTACTTCGCCCGATTCGTTGTGGGTTCGAGTTGTAACAAGTAAATATAAGAGAGGTTTGGATCTTCGGAGGGAAGTAAATCATAAAGCATATGACTCATACTTCTGGAAAAATCTGTGTAGTGTTTGGCCATCTTTTCTTCAAGCAATGCAATGGGAGATTGGAGACGGTAATGATGCATTATTTTGGACAGACAATTGGTTGGGTTTAACTGAGTGTCTTGCCTCTCTGGCTACTCGTACTCCAACTGGTTTGGAGTTGAATCTCCCTGTTAGTGCCTTCGTGAACAGCAATACTGGTCAATGGAACTTTCCCTATATTCGTCAATATCTCAATGATCAAGCTGTTGCAAGGATCCAAGCTGCTCTCATTCCTAGCGCATCGGATGGAAATGACCGCATTATTTGGAGAAATCAAAAGGTTGGCTGCTCTTTAGTTAAAACCGCGTATTATAACATGCTTGGTTTCCCTCTCATGCCGTTGAAAAATTCTTGGACTACCATATGGAAATGGCATGGGCCTCAACGTGTTAAATCTTGTATGTGGATCATAATGCATGGCCGCCTTCTTACTAAAGACCGCACATCTAGATGGAGTGGGGAATCTGGTCATTGTAAAATATGTCCTGGTGAGTTGGAAACAAACCTCCATGTTCTAAGAGATTGTAAGCATGCTAGAAGTGTTTGGAATTCTCTGGTTTCAGCTAATCGGCAAAGCTTATTCTACAGCTTGGATCTTAGAGATTGGGTTGAAAATAATATCTCAAAAGCCTGGAATCAAAGTAATTCAGATGATTGGCGTGATGTCTTTTTTATCTCTTGTTGGTTCATTTGGGGATGGAGGAACAAAAGTGTCCATGATGCTAACTTCAAGCATCCAACCCATGGAACGCACATAATTGCTATGTATATAGAGGAAGTTCGTAACTGCATGGGTAGGAAGGCTATGACTACTACTAGCATTCATCCAACTCGTATGAGTTTATGGAAACCTCCAAGGTTAAATTGGGTGAAGATTAATATTGATGGGGCAGTTGAAAGGAATACTGAGGTGGCTGCTTGTGGTGGGATTATCAGATCTGATGATGGCTCTTGGTTGGGAGGCTTTGAGTATCATATTGGTGCTTGCACTCCTTTAATGGCGGAGCTTTGGGGAACTCTAAAAGGTCTGGAATTGGTTTGGCAACTGGGATTTAAGAAGGTGGAACTAGAAGGAGATGCTTCTGAAGTATTCTCTTTGCTTGCTGATTGCAATGCAGCTTGTCAGCCTCGTATAGTGGCTAAGATACAAGCACTCATCGGTCAGGATTGGGAGGTAACGCTTTCTCATATTCCAAGGGAAGCTAATTCCTGTGCTGATTGGTTAGCCAAGTCTGCTCTTCACAAAGATACTGGATTCTGGAGTCATAGAGTTATGCCGTTTCACCTTGCTCAGTTATTTGATCACGATCTTCAGGGAATCTCCTCTTGTAGGGGTATAGACCCTGGATAGTTATTTTTTTTTTCTGGTTGTTTGTTTGTTTTTGTTTGGGGCTTCGCCCCTTAATGTTATAAAAAAAAAAAAAGTAAATATTGTAGGAAAAATATATATCAGGTGTGCATCACGACAATTATATTTTCTCGCACTAATTTTTTTTTCTGAAAGAAATAATTTATTTTATTTCTGTGTCTAAGAATTTTTTTTTTAAAAAAGTATTTTCAATAACCTAATTTATTTCTATACTCTAATAGAGAGAAAAAATATATTTAATAAATAATATGATTAATAAATAATTATATATAATACTGATAATGGATTATACGATACTTTAACCTGCCACAATTGGCGGGTTATGTTGGGATTTCCAACAAGCTTGGAGCTAGACGCTCAATTTAAGGGTGGATTAAAATAGGTTCAACTTTGAATGGGGTTGGTTGATCCGTCAGGTTAATTCTTTTTTAATATATTAATTGATGATATTTTTCATATTTCTTTTATCCTCATTTAATACTTTTTACCAATGTTGATAAAATCGGATCGATCCGCGAACCGATAAATCGGTCATATAATCAGTCCGGTTGAAGAAATGGACCGGCCATGCATCAGGATCGGTGTGACCTGGCCGATTTTCATGAAAATCGGTGACCCGATCGGTTAATCGGTGACCTGACCCGGTCCAAAAAAAAAAATTCCAAATTTTTTTTCATAAAAAATGGACATATTTGAATATTTTTTTGCTTATTGACTTACATAAGTTATGAACCTACAACACTAATATTATCTCAATTATGCATTATGCAGAAAATTTTGATTTGATTTATAGTTAGAGATGTCGTTTACTGAACTTGAAGTCCCGTATCACGATCGATCATTTTATTTTTGTTTGATCCTTTATTGTATAATAATATGTGATTTTTTATTTTTTATATTAAAATATTGAAATTTTTATTTTTTTAAATATTTGAGTATGTTTATAATTTTTAAATATAAATTATAAAATTACATATAATTATCGGGTCATGCAGTTGAACCAGTGACTCACTGATTGAACCAGTGATCCAATGACCCAGCTATGAAGCACCAACACTTCAAAAACTCTAACGTGTCGTGTCCGACACTTTCCGACACTCTAACAAGCGTTGTATCTCAAAAAAATGTTCAGAAGTTGCGTTGCATTGCGTTTTTAGTTCAAATTATTAAATTCGTTGGATTACTATTACCATTTTATTGAGTTTAATATAAATATTTGGGATATCGTATTTTCTTTGCAAAATTGATGGGTATTATAAGTTTAACTTATTTTTTTGTTAAATTATTGAGTATTAAATATAACATACATTATATAAATTAAAAATAATATTTAATATCAAAACGTGTCCTAACATGTCAAAATTTAACATTTTTAAGAATTACATATCGGAGTGTCGTATCGTGTCGTGTCTCGTGTCTTGTGTCCCGTGTCGGTGCTACCTAGTGACCCAGTACCTTGACCGGGTCAATGATCGAGCCGGTTTTAATAAGATTACTTTTTATATCTATGGAGAATATACTTTTAATTTTTTTTTTCTTTTTTTATATATATTTAATTTTTTTTTCTAATATATTAACGGACTGACAAGGCAGGACAGATTACGAGTTGGGTTGGGTTAAAATTTTCAATGGAGTGCCGCTTTGTCACCTCTTTATCAAAATTGAAATTTAGTGGAGAGGGTACATGGGTGCGCCCCTGTACATCCGGCCAATTAACTGAGTCCATGTATTATAATTTAAGCAAGCGAGGTTTAAAATTGTCTCATTTGAAAAAAACTCAAGAAATAAATGAACAAATGCATACGATACTCATAAATTATTGAATTAGTATTTCTAACAGAGGAGACTTCGTCAGTTATATCAACTAGTGGTTTCAAACACATATTTCAACGCATCATCTAATCTATTATTGTGACCACTGACCAGATTTCTTTAAGTGCAAGGAAGCTGCCAACACTCACCCAAACCATGCCTAACCGACCTTTCGATTTATTTATTAATTGTACTTACCTTCTAAACTTCAATTTCGGAGCATGTCACTCTAGAATATATCATGCCAACAGCTTCGTAGGCAGCTTCACCCATGATGTGACTTAGAAAAGTGCCGGTTTTGAAACTTTTATTTCTTTTGAATCCAAATATTTTTCACAATTTTCCTTTGCATCTTCACTTTTTATCCTTTTTTTGCCGGATATATGATGCAGCTACAGATTAGTCAATGTTGTCTATTTCAATAAGATATCGTAATAAGCTTCCATTGACCAGTTAAATTTATGATCATTCAATCATAATTAATGACGTATATTAAGTGAAAATAAAATGATGATGGTAACATTTTTTATTTTATTTTTTTGTTAATTGGTGGGAGTGCCCAAAGCCTTAAACTCTACATTAGTTGCTCATACAACCAATGTTGGACTATATATCTCAACACGCCCCCTCACGCAAAAGTTCTTTGGGCTAGAAGCGTGGAATGCACATGCCCAATTTTTTTCCTCACGCAAGAGCCCTTTGGGCTAGAAGTGTGAAATTGCACAGGTCCAATTTTTTGTTTACCTTTTTGTGCTTTTTATTTTAATTCCACTCTTAAAGTGGAGGACGGTGAGGATTTGTGACCTTATAGTCACTTAACTCTGATACCATGTAAAGAATCTTGGGATACACCACCCAAAAAGCTAGCTCAAAGGTGGGAGTGCCCAAGGCTTTATAAACTCCACATTCATACAACTAATGTGAGACTATATATCTCAATATAAACTATGTAAAGGGTTTTTGTCTTTCGTAAGGCTCCTTCCAATTTCTAAGCATTTGCTAGGCAATTTCCAATTGGTCTACTCGCTCAAGATTTGTTCACGAGGAAGCAAGTTAAGAAAACAGAAAGAAAATTTCGTGGGGACTACGCGTGACGTAAATAATCTTTCTTAAGTATGTTACATTTCTTAATGCTCTTGCTGGTTCTCATCGGGACAATATAAAGTTTCATTGATCTAACTCTACCACCTATAAATAGGACATATTAATCTTGCTGTCTTTCATCCTTAGAACTAGAAGCTCATTGCATTTCTGAAAGAACCCTAGACGTTTCTCAAATTAACTTCCAAAATGACGGTTAGAAATGCTCTTTTTTTTATTGCACTTAGAAATATATGTCTCTACTTTTATGTCTTCTGCATCATCACGCACATAGAAAAAGTTCAATAACCATAATTTCTTCTTTTATCGTCAAGATATACATTGGTTTCGTATCCTTGATTATTGTTATTCAAATTTAACTTGAAAGGATTAAAAGTACTCTAGAGTTCGAATGAGTTTGCGTATAAAAATGTTTTATGTATTCGATGTGTCTAAGACTTCCTAAACACTAATAGTCTTGATAATATCAATAGTAGTAATGGGAAAGTTCAAACAAAATCTGCATTACTATATAGCATATATATTCAGCTGAAGGTGTTCTTAATTATCTTGATCATATATATATATATATATATATATATATATATATATATATATATATACATGATCCAAATATATATAAAATGTTGGTTTTTAACTTTTCTTCCTTTTACTTATTTCTTGTGTTTTCCAGATAGTAGAGATGTGTGTGCACATGGACTGTGCAGGTTGCGAGAACAAGATAAGGAAAGCTCTTAAAAAATTACGTGGTACATATATAGAACCTTAACTTTTTGTGCATGAGTTTTGTTATAGTTGTATACATTTACTTTGCACTGACATTATATTAGTGCTCACCACACAAGTACTTTAACATTAAAAGAGCCAAGGTCAAATTCTACATCGATATCCTTATGTATATACCTATTGATTAATGAAATTGTATCAGGAGTTGATAATGTTGACATAGACATGGGCATGCAAAAGGTAACAGTGATGGGTTGGGCAGATCAAGAGGAGGTCTTGAAGAAAGTAAGGAAGACTGGTAAGAGGGCAGAGCTGTGGCCATATCCATATAACCCTGAATACCATGACTTCACTCGCCATTACGGCAAGAATGTTGAAAACGATTCCTACTTTGCATCTTCTAAGTCCTCCTCTTCTTACAACTACTACAAGCATGGATATAGTTATGCTGAAGACTTTGGCTATTACCGAAAGCCAGTTGGTGCAACAATGATTAATGACAAGGCCATGACCATGTTCAGTGATGAGAATCCTCATGCTTGTACTATAATGTGAAGCATGTATTAATTAAGAGATGAGCTTTGATTTTGCCTTTTTCTGTTTATATAAATGTGGATTATATTTAGAATGTATCATGTAGTGCTATTACCATAATACATATATGTTTTCCTGTAAATTGTTATCCGTACTTAATGATGGAACACAACACTGCAAAAATTGAGTACACAGTATTTCAACTTTCATTTTTTTTTTCTTGCTTTTTTTTACTAAATTGATGTTCTGTGCGTTTGCACAAGTCCTTTAACTCAAATATAAATATTTATTGTATGTATAGTTCAATAAAAGTCTAAAGTCAATATTTTAAATAGAACAATTTATTGAAAGTTTTTTTGACATTTTAGATGTCATGTGGACCAGTGTCTTTAGGAGACTTCTACACTGTTGCTTAATTCCCTTCCCTCCAAGCACATTTTATATATATTTGGGGTTAAATTCTAAGGGTGAAATTAATTAGGCACGACATTATGTATATAAAAAACCAAAATTATGCACAACATTTATTCATATCCTTGTAATTAAATTGATATTTTCATTCTCACAAGCATAGTTAAACCATTAAAATGTGTTTATAGATTAATTAATAAATATAAGTTTGTGTCATTTTAAATAAAGCAACATCATTTTGGTGCATATAATTAGTGATTTTTTACATTCTCATCAGTTATGCATCAAAACGATAATATTTCATCTAAAATGACACAAAATTAAAATTGTATTATTTAAAATGATAAATAATTTTCCTTAAATTTTAATGTGCTATGTTGTATGAATGTTCTAAGACTATATTCGAGAAAGAATAACATAAATGAGCTAATAAATTACAAGGATTTAATTTTATCACAATATCTGCACTCCTCTTCAAGAATACATACTAAATCCGAAAAAGCCATCATCAACAACTCACAATTACCGCCAAAAGGAAACCAATTAACAAATCTCAAGGAGTGACACAATCAGTAGGCGGACTCTGTTCAAGGAGGAAACTGTTACGATTAAAAAATCTTTGATTAAATTTCTAAGCGAAGTAATTTAGGGTTAATAGTAAAAACCATCGCCCAATTTGCGCTACAAAAAATTCAAATAGATGATGAGATGAGGAAACCCAAAAAAAAAAAAAAAAAAAAGTTGACAACATAAAAGAAAACTGTCCAGTTAAATTGGGCAGAACAGCTAGAATTTTATCATATAAGATATATTTACTATTTTTTTTAAATAATTTCTTAGAACGTTTCTCCAATGTTTTTTTTTTTTTTAAAGAGATATGATTTACCCATAAAATACTTAAAAAACAATTTTCTAGCTACGATAAGAAAAAGTCATGAAGTAGAGGCTGCGAAATCCCATTGGTGTGCCGATGTCTGCGTCTCGTGTTGCGTTATTTGTCGTCTATTCCCTAATATCTGTCGTTTTATATCACAGTTAGCTTCTTCCTTCCGATGAGGAGAATACAAATCCCATTGCTTGCCCCTTTACCTTTATGACGTCTTAGTCACTCAAACTGAAACTGCACACTGCAACGAGAGAGAGAGAGAGAGAGAGGGATAAGAAGGGTAATGGTGTGATTTGGTCAAGAAGATTGATAACAACACTTATGACGGTTCTCTGTGTCACTATGCTTTGAAACGAGAGAATTAAGGATTTGCCCCTCTCTCTCTATATATATTATATTTCTATTTATATACATGGCAACTGCACCGTTCATTCACGCGCGCTGTGGTTACTCGCCTCGAATCTGCAATCGCAACAAGAGTGGCTCGCAAGCCTCGTCTTCTCATGCTTCATCGTCCTCTTCGCCCTCTTGTTCTTATTCATCCTCCTCTTCCAGCTCCGGTTTGTGTTTCCTTTTTGGTAAATTTTACTTTTCTTTTCATTTTAAATCCCTTACTTCTATATTCCCAATCTTAACATTTTTTTTTTTTCAATTGCTGTATTAACCAACTTGATTGCGGTTTTGTTAGTGATTTTAACATTAGTTTTCTGATAATTAAAGAGCGTTTTGTGTTTTGTAATGACATCTGACTTTAGTGGAGAAGAGAAATACGATTTCCATTTGTACTATGCTGAATTTAGATACTTTGAACTTTTCGAGTCCATCACACATACTTGATAAATGCAACAGAAGGCAGTTGATTGGAATTCAAGTGTAACTCTTTTAAGTTTTAGGAGTTTGTTGATATATCACTTGATACTATGGGCCTGGATGTCTCTTTTTTTTTTTACGTGCATTTGGCAATTGCATATCTTGAACTCATTGCCCTTAATTAAGACAAATGCAGTTTTGGTTGAATAACATTATCTGACACCAAACCGCTCATGTTCCCATAGGAGTGAGTGTAAAGTTAACCACATGTTAGTGCTAGCAGACCTCCCATCATATTAGGAAGAATAAGGGTGCGAGAAGGGGAATAAGACCCTATTTTGTTATTAACAGAAATGAATAACTGTTAGATTGGAGTTGGAGTCCGGAGTTAGTTACAGTGAGTATATGACAATTACAGAGGCAGAGAACTTTAGGATTTGATTGGAATAGAGAGCAAGGGAGAGGCCGGGCTGTGTACCGCTGTGTTCTTAACTGTTCTTAATCTCTCACCAGTATCTTTTTTATACCGGTTAGAAGATTGTTTGTTTCATGGATTAAGATTACATTCTTACTTTGTTTCTGATCCAGTTCTATAAGTATGACATAGACATTCATTTACATATCTCCAATATTGAGTTCCATGTAGATGTGATTATGCTACATTTGTGCTTCACAAAAAATGAAGATAATCACATGAATGCTTACATCCATTACCAAAATATGAAGATGGCAAACTGCCTTCGTATCTATCTATTAATAGTAGATATGCCCTTGAGGGTGAGCCTTGGCACAATAGTAAGGTTGCTAGTTATGAGATCTAGTTGTTTGAAATAGCCTATCTGATCACTGTGGTATGATTTCATACATATGGTGCTCCACACTAGACCCCACAGTGGTAGGAGACTTGTGCACTGGGCAATACTTTTTGCAGTTATGTCCTCCTTGGTTTGCTTTCTACACTATTTCTCTGTCACTCTATTTTTTGTTTCTTTTTCTAATTTTCCAGGTAAAAGACCATTGTTTGGAATTATAGGGTTTAGGTAGTGAAGAGAGATAAGACAGAAAGACCATTGTGAATAATAGTACACTTAATATATGTTGGATACATGTGATACAGTACCATGACCTAATACTCCTATTACTAATACTAGTACTATTGCCCAAGCCCACTAACACTAGGACTAATCCTAATATTCTAAAAACCATATTAATATTGTTGCAACTATAAGTAAATTTTAATTTTGATTAAGGCTGGTACATGAACTTTTGCAGGTACCAACAGTGGGCAGAGACACCAGGGCCTCAGAGCTCAAGCTATGAGTACCATCACTCATGGAAAGTCTGTTGCTAGCATAGAGAATTCAAAGAACGACCCTGATCATCTCCTTGTTCTTGTTCACGGTATCTTGGCTAGGTATATTTATATTGACGGAATTAAAAGTTGCTTGAATTATTTGGCATTAAAATTTGAATGAAGTTTGTTATGAGACATGGGTGAAAAGTGAAGTTAATGCACGTAATGCTTTTACAATAAGGTACTATATTCAAGTTTAGCTGAAAAGGATTATGGTTTTTGTTAGAGATGTAATATCATACCATTCACGTGTCTTCACCTAACAACTTAAACTTTTGGGATAGTTGATTCATGATATGGTATGAGAGCTTCTAAAATTAACTGTTCTACAGTTCAATCCTTGTCACCTCCATTTTTTGTCTACATTTCAAGCCCAAAGGGCTTTTGGGTGAGGCGTGTTAGAGATGTAATATAAACTAATTTATGTTCTTCACCTAATAACTTATGCTCTTGGGATAGTTAGTCCTGGATAGTTTTCGTCGTATTTATGATTAGTTGGTACTCTTTCCAGTTTTTCTGTCAATTATAAATCTGATTCATTTTATAGAGATAATCAATTTTGAGCCCATTTGGATGGGCTTTTTTTCTCTCCAAAAACAGTTTCTTTTTAAGAAAAAAAGACTTCTAAAAAAAAAATCTGTTTGGATGCCTGCTTTTAAAAAAAGCAAAAGTCATACAAAAAGCCAAAAATCTGTTTTTTTTTTTTAAGCTAAAAATTTTAGCTTTTAAAAAAATTAGAAGTCAAAAGCCAAATATTTGTTTTCAAAAACCAAATATTTAAAAAAAAAATCTAAATAGTTTTAGCTTTTGTAAAAAGCACTTTTAAAATAAGCAAGGCATAAAAAGAACTTTTTTTGGGAAGGCAATCCAAATCGGCTCTTATAATCTCACTTTTTAGCAAATGATGTGATTTGTAATCTCACAATTTTGCAAATAATGTGGAAAAGTGCCTTTTATTCTGATGAAACCTTGGGATGCACCATCCTAAAAGCTAGCTCAAAGGGTGAGAGTGCCTAAGGCCTTATAAAACACACGTTAGTTGCCCATACAACCATTGTGGGACTCCAACGCTCATACCTTACAAATGAACCCAACATTCCACCATGTTTCCCTAGTGCGTGCCCCCACACACACTCCACGTGATGGATGCCTTGATACCATTTGATGAGACCTTGGAATGCACCACCCCAAAAGCTAGCTCAAAGGGTGAGAGTGTCCAAGGCTTTATGAACCCCACATTAGTTGTCCATACAACCAGCGTGGAACTCCATGTCCCATACCTTGCAAATGGAACCTAACATATTCATTTATAGTTTTAATGGTTGTTTTCATTGCGAAATTTGGGGCAATGGATGTCTATCATATATCCGCTTCTTTCTGTTGGTCATTTGGTTATTGTTTTGTAATTTAGTCTAATATAAAGTTGTACTGATGTTTTTACTAATACAGTGGAGGGGATTGGACTTATGCAGAAGCAGAATTGAAAAGGCGCCTTGGAAAAAACTTTTTAATTTATGGTTAGTACATTTTTCGTACTTGTGGTTCTAGATATTATGTTTGACTGCCTTTGTTTGGGGCGACTGATGAGATGCCTTAGCCAACTCAAACTCAATCTAATTTATTATAGTTGGAGTTGACTTGCAAAATGATGGAATCAGAAAATTATAACACTGATATTGATTAAACAGTAATTAAACGATAGTATGACAGAGATACAAAGATAACAGAGATACAAAAAACAGTAGAAAAGTATAACAGAGATACAAAGACCAAGAGGAAAAACTCCACTCCAAGACAACATCCCTAGCCTTGAGAGCTTCCCTATTTCCTCTCCAAATTCCCCATCCTAGTTCCCCATATTACAAATGATATTCAACATAAAGAAATCACACCCTAAATATCTATATATATATATATATATAAAAACCAATTCAACCCAAAAGCTTAAGCTGTTGGGTGAGACTACCTTAATGGTTTTATACTTCTCTAACACGCACCCTCACACGAGAGCCCATTGGGCATGAAGGGTGGATAATTCACAGGTCCACCTACCTGTGCTAAGAAATTCCACAAGAGAAAGTGGGGGAAGGTGAGAATCAAACTTGGAACACGAGGCTTTGATACAATGTAAAGAACCATTTCAACCCAAAACCTTAAGGTGTTGGGTGAGGGCCTTTTTAATTGTTTATATTATTCTATAACACACCCACTGACGCAAAAGCCCTTTGAGCTTGAAACGTGGATATTGCATAGACCCAAATTTTTGGTTTACCTTATGCTTATTTAATTCTACAAGTGAGGATTGAACTCGTGACCTTGTGGTCAGTGAAGCTCTGATACTATGTAAAGAACCAATTCAACCCAAAAGCTTAAGCTGTTGGGTGAGGCTACCTTAATTGTTTTATACTTCTCTAACAATATACTAATTCCTAACTAATGGGCCTGGATACTTTTATTAAAGGCCCATCAATGGGTCAAACTGTTTAATGCATGAGAAAGTCTATTTGTATAATTTCGAAAGTAGTTAGTGAGCCTAAGCTGTTTAAGATAACAATATTTGTGTTAATGTTGTGTAAAATTTTCTTTTGTATTGCTTGAGTGCCTCATCCATGAATGTAAAATTATTCGTCTAGCAGAAGTCCTTAAGAATTATTTTGACGTCTGCAGTAAGTTCATCAAATTCTTACACTAAGACATTTACTGGGATTGATGGAGCTGGAACGCGATTAGCTGACGAAGTGAGTTCTGAGATACTCAAATTTATGTTCCCAAAGTTTGGAAGTCCAATATCAGTTCTGATAACTTGGAGTTTCTCTTGAATTGTCTCATGTTGTCTGGTTTGTTGCCTTTCATCAAAACAGGTCATGCAGATTGTTAAAAGGACAAAGAGCCTGAAAAGAATCTCCTTTCTGGCCCATTCTTTAGGAGGTTTGTTTGCTAGATATGCAATTGCTGTCCTTTATTCACCACCTACCTATAATGGGGACCAACCCAGTGATCTAGCAAACAGCACGACAGACAATTCCCAAAGAACAAGCATTTCGAAAGGAGGGATGATTGCTGGGTTGGAGCCAATCAATTTCATTACTTTAGCAACTCCACATCTTGGTGTAAGGGGAAAAAGGCAGGTATGTTCTGGACAATGTAAATTACAGTGCCAATGTTTTTTGCGATATATAGACTTCTGTCTGAAACATCTATATCATTGTTGTTTATATTGTCTTGCGTTTTTAAAAACTCAAAATTTTCTTTGTGCTCTACATTGATGATTCATTGCTTGGCGCTTATGTAATGCTAATGTTTTATTTATGACAAATTACTGCATATGTATTGCTTGTTTGGCTTTGGCTCACTCTACTCAAGACAATACTCTATACCTTGATTTTGCTATTGCCTTTGTCAGTGTAGGCACCAGTGCTTTGAGGGGGCCTATTCCCCCCAATATACTTGAGTATATGTTACGCAACTCTCCCAAAAGTTTAAGCTATTAGGTGAAGGAGCATGATTGATTTTTATATTTATATTTCTAGCATGTCCCCTCACACACGAGCCTGTTGGGCTTGAAGGGCTGACAATGTGTAAGTTTACCTATTCTGTGATAAGAAATTACACAAAGCTACCATAGAGGTTTTGATAAGGATTGAACTCTAGACCACTTAATCATAGAGACTCTGGTACTATATCATGAACCAACTATGCCAAAAGTTTAAGCTATCATATATTCTAATTTTTGTACCTTATCATTTGTATTTTGAATGTAGAATTAAGTTAAGCCACCGTTTTTGCTTTAGTCACATTTTTATGCTCATTGGGGTACTGTAGAATTTTATTAAAATTTAGATGGGACATAGTTCTATCTGAGGATTTTTTTACTTACCGAAAATTGTCTCGTTAATGAGCATATTATACATATTACGCTTATATTTGTTTCTGTTTCTACTCTATCCACCCCTTTCTTTTATTATGTTTTTCATTCATTATTTTCTCTCTTTCTCAATATTACTTTAGCTTCTCTATTGTTTGGTTTTAATCAAATTCAAGCATTGATATGCATGACGGCCACCAGCTCCAATGTTTTTCGAATTACGTGATTCACTTTGTTCCCATTTAAATCCTCATTTTATTTTCTTTTTATTGTCGGTGAGCTGAGATTTGAACATGTTGGAATTATAGGGAATTATATAGGAAAAGAAGAAAAGAGAGAATAAAGGCTAAGTAATCTGAAATTGATATTAATTTGATATAAAGAATGTGTTGTGATGATACAAAAGATAAAACACTTAATTTCATTTATACTGATAGAAAACTCCAAATCCTAATTAAATAAGGAAAAAAATATAAAATTTAAAGAAATATATAAATTATTCTTGAGAGAACTTCTACAATACTCTAAACTATTTTAAGATATAGTAATGATATTATGAAATATTCTCAAGATATTCTGATAGACCAAACTATTATCTTTCTTGATTAGTGGATCTGCAGACAATCAGTTTTTCTTACTTAGTTCTTACATTGATTTATGCATGCATGTATTTTTTTTTTTACACAGGCATACAGCCGTTGAAGAATTTTTAGAACAGAAAAAATGAAGAATTTTTTCCAGAGAGATTAGAAAAAGAAAATTTAATAGCGCAAACTCTACCCCTCCATAAAATAATAGCTTTCTTCCACTCCATCTTAAAACAAACTGTACCCCAATCTATTTTTCACTCCTACTTTTTCCTATGTATGTTTGGGCTGACCTTGATAATGAGAGAAAATTACAATAAGATTTGCGATACCCACAAACAACCTAAGAAAATTTGCATTTTGCTGGTGAAGTCTTATATGGCGATCATGGAAAAGCTAATTAGAAAGTAATTCTAATAAGTGACACTTCTAGTAAATAAAACTGTGAGTGAATTGAATATTCAAACCATCCTTCTCCCAACTCTTTGTTTAGATGTCTCATTGATGCTGTTCATGTTTCTTAATTTATACAGAAAATTTACAGGCCATAAGAATTTTGACTGTTTATTATGCATATTCTTCAGCTTCCATTTCTTTTTGGCGTCCCATTCCTAGAAAAGCTTGCTGCACCAATTGCTCCTTTTTTTGTTGGTCAAACTGGTAGCCAGTTGTTCCTTACAGATGGTAAACCCAACAAACCACCTCTTCTTTTGAGAATGGCTTCTGATTGTGAAGATGGAAAGTTTCTGTAAGTAAAGGAATCTATATGTACTTACTTTAAATTCCTCTTCTTAAGTAAAGTAATCTGGTAGTTACAAGATTCTGTTTTGTAGATCTGCACTTGGAGCATTTAGATCTCGCATCGTTTATGCTAATGTTTCATATGATCGTATCCTTTCAGTGTTTTTCCTGTTTTACAACCTGCTAGGGATATCAATGATAATCTTTTGGCTCTCTCTTCCTCAAATTTGGCAATTTCTTTAACTTTATATAGATATGGTTGGGTGGCGCACATCCTCTATTAGGAGGGAAACCGAGCTTAGTAAGGTGAATATTTTCTCCTTTAGGATTATCCCATTTTTTGTTTTTGATGATCTCCAATATTTATCATACGTAACAACAAAATTAACATCTAGTAAGATGCTAACAATTATTCTTAACATCTTGACTGTGTTTATGTCTTGCGTTGGTATCTATTTACTTGTCTTAAATTTATCACTAAAATGGCAATTTTTAATGTAAATCCTACCATTCCCAATATAAAATTTTGTTTATGTCACTAAGAAAAATATCAAGAAAGTAGTGAAAATACTAGAAGAAATAAAATAAATTATTATTAGTTGACTACTTTGTATATACATACAAGTTTTAAGTTTCCTTCTGCCCTCCCTCCCCCAGAAATAAATATAAAACTCTCAGAGTACTACCCTTGTAATATATTTCAATAAAAAATGATTTAAAAGTGAAAGTCAAAAGAAATCATAAAATTTGTGCAAACAAGTAAGAAAGTTCCTACCTCAGAAAGTAACAAATCAAAGATCCAGATATTTAAGGATTTTTATGTAATCAGAGAAACAAAACCATGGAAAATGAGATAAAATACATGAACTTGAAGCTACCACAACAAAATGTCAGTGGGACATTGTGGAAAAACTAAATGTATAAAATTTGTCAGAAATGAGAGAATTGAGGGTTCCATCAAAATGTGACTATAATTCATTGTTTAATTCTTCTAAAAGTACTTCTGTATCTCACTTGTAAAACTTCAACAGATTAACAGTTGGTTGGGTACCCAGAGCATTTTCAATTATGAGGATGGTTTTATAATTTGCACCCTGTTAACTCAGTTCATTAGTTGCCTAATTTCCAGACACAGTGTCCCTTATAATTACTTAAATGAGAAATTCCAAGTGGAAGTTCCTATCACTGCAGAGTCACAGCATGTTAGCATAAGATGAAAGCCTGTATCCAGAAATGCATGTGGTAGTGGTCGTAAGTTGTGTCTGCATCACTTGATCCATGCAAAACTAGTGTTCTTGAATGTCTACTCTACAGCAATCCTTCTGAAAATAAATAAATGAGGGATCGGAGTTATTGACACTGCAACTAAAATATTGAATGGTGCTAATTCTTGCATCCTAATTTGCTAGTGTCAGGTTCTATTTGCAAACTTGGAAGAGAATTATTAAATTTTGGGAAAAAGGGCAAATGGCGGCATCCTCGTTGTTTAGTGCAGATTCTGTATTGAAAACTGGGAAGAAAAATTATTTAACATAGGGTAAAGGGAAACGCCTGAACTGTGTTAAGAACGTGTATATGTTTCTAGAGGACCAACATTTTCTATATTGTATTTGGCAGCCTCCTCGCCAATCTTTAGATGGATACAAGCATGTGGTCGATGTGGAATACTGCCCCCCGATCCCTTCTGATGGGCCTCGTTTTCCTCCAGAAGCAGTGAAAGCAAAGGAGGAAGCACAAAATGCGCCCAATACCCAGAAGACTGTGGAATATCATGAAATTATGGAAGGTGCTTATTAAGAGTAACTGAAGATGTATCAATAATCTGTTCGGTCACTTATTTTTCCACTAAAACAACTATGAATCTTTTTTTTAACAGATGAGATAATACGGGGATTACAGCAGTTGGGATGGAAAAAAGTTGATGTCAGCTTTCACTCAGCATTCTGGCCTTTCTTTGCTCATAACAACATTCATGTATTGCATCCACTAAATCCGTCAAGGATGATGATGTTATCATTGGTAGAGAGTTTTTAACTTGAGTACTTGTCTAATTTTCAGGTGAAAAATGAATGGCTTCACAATGCTGGTGTAGGAGTAATTGCTCATGTGGCTGACAGCTTAAGACAGCAAGAAGCATCATCAATTTTGGCTGCTAGCTTGTAACTAGTGTATGTAATTTCACTATGCCTAAGACACGACTAACTGCACAATACAAGATGAAGAAAATCATTCTTTCATTTTAATAGTATTAATATATTTACAACATCTTATTATGAACATATGTTCATACAAGCATATAGTAGTTCTTAATGGCGGTTGTCATGGAACTTGGTAGAAAGATATATTATCGTACCAATGAAAACAAAATGTGGTTTGTGCGTATTAGAATGACTGGTATAGATACGAATTTAGAAGTGGGAGCACACATTTGAGCTTCCACACATTTGTCCTTGTTATGTGTTTCAATTGTCATTGACATGATTAACTTAGGCTGGCTTTTGAGCTATATGTCTCGCACTATTTATGATGCTCGGGGTGTAATTTCAACTTGGAGCTGTGACCTTGACTTTTTATTATAGGAGAAGAAAAAGATTGTCCAAATTTTTCTCCTCTGATGTTGGATTTGATCCAAGACTTGAGCAATTGGATTTTTTTTTTTTTTTTTTTGGTTTTCCGGTATCCTCCAGCCATCAATTGGATTTTTTGTTATCTACATATACCACACCTCCGTCCTCCGGTATGGTTTCCGTTTTCACATGTTGGAGGTGATGTTTGTAACTTAAAACTGACCTATGTGAACTGGATGATGGTATCTTCTTATTTACTAGTACTCGTCAGAAGCTAATACTTAGTTTTATGTTACAGTCTCAATTTTCAGAAGTCGTGGTTTGAGGCAAATGGGAGGTAAAAATGATGGCTATTTTGTTTGATCGGATGGCTTCCTAGAATAGCAATCTGCAGCCTCTACTTACGGAATGTTACTGACGATTCAATCATAGTTAGAGTGTTTTTCCCACCTCACTAAATCGTTAAGTTAATCCTTAAAATATTAAAATGTTATATTGTATTAGTTTTCTAAATATTTGTCATTAAATTAATTTTTTAAAGATAATAAATAGTTTCCAAATTTGTTTTCCTTTTTTTTTATCGTTTTAGTTCTTAATAGAGACCTATATGATAGTATTTTAAATTTTTGAAGAATTAATTTAGTTCCATATTTTTAAAGGATTAATACAGTAATACTTAATTATTAAAAGATTCATTTTAATTATATTTTTTAATGGAACCACATATGTCCTTGTAGATTTCGCTAATTTTAAAATGTCAACTCCAAGCGATTATATGCTTTGATTTGTTAAATTTGTATTTAGCAAAACTTGTACTTAAAATAATAATGAAAAAAATGAGAAAGTTATTAATAAAGTAAATAAAGCAAAATCTTTCCAACAAAAAAAATAAATAAAGCAAAATCAAATATGTACATAATAAAACCTTCTTGCCAAAACCACCTTAATCCGTGGGGCTTCGCTCGGTCAAAAGGTAATAACTATTTAGATAAGCCCGCGGTTTTAAATATGATCTCTGTAGCCTTCCTTCAATTACTTTATTAATTGATGATGTGCCTTTTCCTTTTCAAAATAAATTATGCCCTTGGCGAAGTTGGTATATTTTTGTGCATAGAAAATCCGCGGTCAAACATCCATTATTCCTCTTTACATAATTTCTACGTTACACAATCCTCACTCATGACCTTTTTTTACCATCAAGCTAACCAGATTTAGCTTATAGCGACGGCTTTGAATAGATTAATCAAATTTTAGTGTCACTGTTGTAAAAAAAATTAGATTTAAAATTACCATAATTAATCAAACTTCTAAATTCATATTTATTGAATTGTTTTCAGTATAAAATTTATTATTATTATTATTATTATTATTGAAAGAGTTTCATTTTAATTATAAATATGTGACATCAAAATCATTTTAATTATAAATGATAGTAAAAAAATATTAAAAGTAAGTTAAAACTCTATTTATTAATGTTCTTTCATTAATTAGGGTGTTCCTTAATTTGGATATTAATAGAATATGTGTTGGGCTTGGTGCTAGGACATCCACCCTTACTTAATCAGATTGATTATTAAATTTTATTTTTTGACATAATTCAGATAACGTCTTTCAGGTTCAGGCATTGGTGGTAATATATTTTCATAAAGATATGTATGTGTATTATGTTTTACATCTTAATTACGAAAATTCTAAAAAGACAGATGAAATAATATCCATGTGGTGTTTTAATTCTCAAAATTTTATCTATTATACGTATGTACTTATACACACATCAAAATATGTGAGTTGGGTCATATAAGTAGAAGAAAAAGAAATTAAAATTTAATATACTTTTATATATGTATAGAAAATAAATTTATCTTCTTCAACATAAAAAATATTAATTCACACAATTTTATATGTATAAAAGATAAAGTTATTTTTTTTTTATGAAAAATATTAATTCCTTAATAAAGAAATTTTAAATTTTATTCGGGGATGAGTTTTGAAATTTCAATAACCATCAAACCCCAATCAATTTGCCTCGCTTCCAACCCCACTCACCACTCTCTGCCGTGACCGTCACTTTCCAATCACTTATCTCCAAACCCAAAAGGCCAAAGCGTCATAACCACTCTCAGAATAGCGCGTGGGAAGAGCCCCTCCCCCACGACCACGACCACGACCGAGCAGTGCCGTCGTGGCCTGTCTCACTGTCTCTCCCCAGCCAAAACTTAGAAGTTGGAAATGCAATCCATATAGATAGAGAGAGACGGAAGTGAGAGAGAGAGAGAGAGAGAGAGGGATTTCTAGAGTGAGAAAGTGAGAGGAGAGAGAAAGGTAGCAGATCGTCCATGGCGTCCATCAAGGAGCGTGAAAATTTCGTGTACATCGCCAAGCTTGCTGAACAAGCCGAGCGCTATGAAGGTCCCTTCCCTTTCTGTCTCTCTCTAACCCATTTTCTTTACTTCCAGATTCTCATGAAGTTTACTTCTTCTTTTTTCTTTTCTTTTTTACCCCTCTGGTTCCTCTGTATTGAGATTTGAGAGTCTCCACTGTGCTGAGCTTTATTTATTTTTTTATCTTAACATCACTTAAAAAAAAAAAAAATTTCTTAGGTTTCTGGGTTACACTGTTGGATGTTCCTTTGGGCTGATTTCTTTCACAATATATTGGAATTGAGAGGAAAATTGGAGTTGGGGTTTTGAGTTTTCTTGAAATATATTATAAACTTTCATGTTTATGTGTGTTAGAAATGGTGGAAGCAATGAAGAATGTGGCGAAGCTAAATGTTGAATTAACTGTTGAGGAGAGAAACCTTCTTTCAGTTGGGTACAAGAATATAGTGGGTGCTCGTAGAGCTTCGTGGAGGATTCTTTCCTCGATTGAGCAGAAGGAAGAAGCTAAAGGGAACGACGTGAGTGTCAAGCGGATAAAGGAGTATAGGCAGAAGGTGGAATCTGAGTTGTCTAAAATCTGCGGTGATATCATGACTGTTATTGATGAGCACCTTATACCCTCGAGCTCTGGTGGGGAACCTAGTGTATTTTTCTATAAAATGTGAGTGGTTTTTGTTCTTCAGCTTTCTCTCTCTCTCTCTCTGAGAATTTAGAATTTTATTGTGTTTTGATTTCTTCTTTATTATTTGTAGGAAAGGGGACTATTATCGGTATCTGGCAGAATTTATGTCTGGTGATGAGAGAAAAGAGGTTGCTGATCTTTCCATGAAAGCATATCAGGTCTGCTTGTATTCAGAACTCTTGTATCTTTGTGGTTTAAAAAGTCTTTTTGTTTGTTACCTGTCATTCCTGGTAATTCATGATTTGTGTTGTGGACTATATGGTTGCTTGGCATGTCTCTGTTAACTGAAGACATAGAAGAAAAAAGGTTTCTGTTTCCCCTTTCCTTTATTAATTCGCAAGTCTTTCTTATTGGTATTGTTTTGTTGCTAAGCTGATAAAATTAATGAATGTCAGACAAAAGAGCAAAAATTACTGGCATATGTCCCCCCCCCCCCCCCCCCCCCCCCCCCCCTTTGAAGGTTATAGTTAACAATCTATTATTGTAGTATAAATCCTTTGATTGGATTAACTTCAACTCCATTATTAATTTCTTTGTCATGTTGGTGTTACTATCTCAACCTGTGGATGATTTGTGAGACCGAACTCATCACTGGTGATATTAACTTTAAAGAAAGGATTCAAGTGGTTCTTTATCACTAAGATTGTATACTTGCTGAGGAGGAAAAATGAATGAGTGGAGCAGTCACTTTTATGTGTTTCATTTATTTTTGGGGAGAGGAAAGGGGGAGTTGGGACACATGAGGGTAGTGCTTATTCTTCATGCATGACATTCGTTATACCTTATATTTGTCCCATGACTACCTATGACCATCACCAATGTGATGTTGGCTGTTGTGTTACCAAAGTATTTATCAGCCAACCAGTTCATGTTAATCTGAACAATTAGTAAATATTGCAGCTGGCTTCCGCTGCCGCAGAGGCTGAGTTAACACCCACTCATCCCATCCGATTGGGTTTGGCTTTGAACTTCTCTGTCTTTTATTATGAAATTTTGAATTCTCCTGAAAGGTATGCCTATTATTACCTTTTTCCGACTGTGTTCTTCTTTAACATCCCAAGTCATGTGCTAAGTGTCTAAGTCAATCTTTTTGACAAATTTAATATGGTACTCCTCATATTCCAGGGCCTGTCACCTTGCTAAGCAAGCATTTGATGAAGCAATCTCTGAGTTGGATAATCTGAATGAGGAGTCTTACAAAGACAGCACACTTATTATGCAGCTTCTGAGGGACAACCTCACCTTGTGGACTTCTGACATCCCTGAAGAAGGAGGTAATCATTAATGGAGATTGGTATTGCGTGTCTCTATGTTAGTTGAACTTGGTATATGAAATTCTTTATTTATTTGACAGAGTGTCGATTTCAGTTATAGTAGACATTGTCATGATTTATGGTTGGTGTGGTTGTTTGTCTGTGGCTATTGTGACTTCCTTTTGTTTGATGTTTTGTTATTTGGAGGGAAGTTTATTCTGATGACAAGCTAGTTTCAGGTGGGCCATTGTGGCTGTGATTTTGTTAACACAATGCATTGTCCTATTGACTAGATAGAGATCCTTACTTCATTGGATCTCAGAAGTCAGAACAAGATCCAAAGGAAGATATGGCAATAACTCCTAAGAGAACTAGATCTTGATTTTTTGCAAGAAATGTCAACATTCCTCTAATTGCAAATACTTGAAGAATCCCATGTTGATTATCAAAATTCCAAAATATTGAAGAAAAGCCTGTACCTAACACACTTTCTGTTGAAAAAAATAGTAACGGGGGGAAATCTGAGGAATCAGATCAAGCTGTTACTCTTAATTACTTTGTGGAAGCAACTAAGTTAGGAATTTGATCTCACTCGAGCTTTTCCAAATGTTGAATTTCTTCATCTCTCTCGTGATCTTAACCAACCAAATCCTTGCAACCAAGAATCAATATCTGTTCCAAACTCATTTCTTCATGTCTTGCTTTTTGATTTTTTCTCCAACTCCGTTTATTGAAATTATTTGATACTTTAATGGTTACTGTTACTCTAAGCTTACTAGCAATAGATGGCTGAATTTTCAAGTTAAGCACTGGTGTTTATTTGTGACTTTGATTCAATTAGAATTTAATAATTTTGGAGATTGATGATGTCCATGAACTTTTGCTGTGTGTGAAATTATAGTTTCTCTTTTGTTTAGTGTTTATTTTAGAATTAGAATTAGGTTAGAGTTATTGTTTCCAGATACGACCTTGGTATGACACCGGGATATGGCATTTTCTTAAAGACTATGATTTGGGCCTGGATATGAAAAAGAATATATATATATATATATATATATATTAACATAAAAATAGCATATTAATTGGTTTTGGTGTATTATGAGGTGAAGTTTTCCCTAGTCCTTCGCTTTGTTTTTCAGCTCTTCATTTTCCCTGTTTAATTAATTGTATACCTCCTTTTTTAACAGTTGAAGAACAAAAGGTGGACTCTGCCCGAGCTGCTGGAGGTGAAGATGCATAGGTAGGTTATGAGCAGACTTAGCAGATTTTATTGTGTTTTACATTTTACCATAGTGAAGTTATATTTTGCAGTTAAATGAAGCAGATATTGGTTAGGAATTTGTGGTGTGCATACGAGAAGGCTAGTCTCTTGCAACTCTTGATAGTTTATCACTAGAAAATTACCCTAGGGCTTTGTCAATCTTTCATGCTATGCATGTCTTATCTGCTACTACTGGAGACAGGAGTTGAGATTACATGTTGTTTAATTTGGTTGTAACTTAGTTTATTGCTTCATTTTGACTTCATCTTTCCAAAAGAATGCTTGGCTTGGATTCCTTCATTAGTTTTATAGTTTACGTAGATAATATTTATTTAAAATTATGCGAATCATTTTATATTTAACATATCCAATTTCTTTCAAGTGATTTAATTTGCCGATTTTAATTGTATAACTCTTACGTAAGAGAAATATTCCCAAGTCCTTTATTAGTTTCTGTGTCTATCTTTTGAAGATTCGGACTGTTTTTATTCGAATTATAGAGCTTTTTCCCCCTTGTGCTATTAAATTTGCAAATTGGAATTTTACTTCCCAAAACCTAAACGTTTTGGAAATGTGATATGGAGCGAGTCACGGCACTTATTCACCTACCATTGTTTATAATTGAATAGTTGTACGTATTTTTGTACCATCTGTCTCTCACTTAATAATTTTCCTTTGATAAAGTTAAATATATTATGAGCGTACCAAATTTTAATTGCATGTGGTTTATTTATTTATTTTATACAAGCAATTGCTTAAGCACTTCCAAGTCGAGTGATTGTTAAATAAAATTTTATCCATATATTTCAGAATTTTAACCATTATAAGTAAAGTTTAACTAATATTACTGCTGCGACTGACTAGTATTGAATAATCCCTAGTTTAAAATGGTATTATGATTTAGCTTATAATGATTTAAACTCTTTCTCTTCACATTATTCTTTTTATTATATCTAGTAGAAATTAAACATGTAACATGTTTTAATAATTTAAGGCAGAAACTAATTGGAAAATAATTTTCCGAAGATAAAAATGTATTTCAGATGGTGATAATAGGTTATAGTCAGTGCTGATCAAAGAAATTAGGTTCCACTTCAACTTTTTACTCTTTAGCTGGTAGTCACGACTAATCATATGTCTTTCGAGTTCAGATGGCATATAGTGCAATCTCATACTAGTTCCACTCTATTAACAAAGGGACTTTAGGCCCCATTATGGACACAAAAAAAGGTTAGGTGATGGAGAATGAAAGAAGAAATAGCGGGTCAAAACAACATTTTCGACCCCCAGAAAAATAAGGGAGAATTGAGAACCTCACAGAATTAACAGACAATGCTAAAATAAGGTAAACCATTTATGACACAAAATATAACCTTCTATCCCTTAGATACACAGTCCTCCTATGAATCAAATCTCCATCCAAACCAATAATCACATCAGGATTCACAATGGCCAAGTCTATCATCATCGTTGCTTCTACCCTTTGTTTCTTGTCATTCTTTGGTTCAGCTTATTGCCGGGACCGCTTCTTTATTGAGGGCTCAGTCTACTGTGACACATGCCGCACTCAGTTCCTCACAAGGGTCAGCGAGTTCATGTCAGGTACATATTTCATACACACCCTTGCATATAAATCCTTCTTAACAGTATAACATAATAAAAACCTTACATCCTGGCACAATGTGATTCAGAAATATTTTTTAAACCATTTACTTTTTTGCATGGTTCATGCAACATGATACAAAGCTAACAGCTTGCAATTGACAGTTCCGATATTATATGAATTTCAATATAAATGAGAAACGAATTCTTTCATGTCTTATTTTAGCCTAATCACATCATGAGAAAAATCACGGTCATGGTTATAATAATTAAAATGAACATTTCTTCTTTTATAGTTAAAGAGTTTTGTCATTGAAATTGTGACTATATGTCAATGAATGATCGAGAGATTTTCTAAGATGATGACGTGGTTATGTTAAAATGAGACGATGATCCATTTCCACAATGAGCAAATAGAAAGTTACAAGCCATAATATATGTTAGCTGTGTACTATATATGATTAAGAATCTGAAGAAATGGAAATGTGGCAACATGGTGAAGGTGCAACCGTGCGAGTGGAGTGCAAAGATACTGAGAATGGAACTTTGACATTCAGCAAGGATGCAGTTACTGATAGAAACGGGTCATACAAAGTGGAGGTGGATGGAGATCATGAAGAGGAGGTTTGTGAGGTTAAGCTTATAAAGAGTAGCAGGGAAGACTGTGGAGAGGTTGACACTGCTTCTCACCTTGAACAAGCTGCTATGATTAGCATCACAAGCAACAATGGAATCATGTCACCAATCCGCACTGCCAACCCTCTTGGTTTCTTGAAGAAGAACCGTCTTCCAATATGCTCTGAGGTGTTCCAAGAGCTAGGACTTTTGGACGATGGCAGCATTGAATTATGAAAAACATAGTCATAGGAATCCCTTTTAACTATTATAGAATAAAGCATGGATCAATCTTTTTTACTCTTTTTTATGATCATGATATATGTGGGAGTTTCTCTAGCCTCGAATTCTTTGACTGGTACTACTCTCTAATCAATCCTACAAATATTTAGCTCGTGATAGCAAACAAAATTGAAATTAAAAGGAACATATTGTATTTCACATATTGCTCAAACAAAGTCAAGAAGATCCATAACATAGCAGGGAACATTGAATTTTACTCGTGCTCTTCCGATCGAGGACTTTTTATGTTTATTTCATTTTATTTTATTTTTTGAAAATTTTATATTAGCAGGGCAGTAATACAGTGTTTTAATTAAAAATAGGTTTCGACCTAAAAGTTTTCTTATTTCTACATAATATTCAAATTTTAGTTTTTTTTACAAAATTAACTAATTAATCTACACAAAAAGTAGTTCACCGTGGGAGTGGATTCTCTCGTGTTAAAAAAGATATGACATGGTTATGTGAACAATTATAATCACACAAAAATAGATTAATGGTAATAAAAAAAAAGAGAGAAAAAATATTAAAATATAGTTATTAAATAATAACCATTGATTTTATTTTGTATGATTATAATTGTCCGACATCGTTATATCATATATTTTTTTAAGATCTATTTCCATGTACATCCATTTGCTAAAAGAAAACGAAGGGTTAGATCAAAACGCTCAAATACAAAGATCCAATAATATCCCCATGTTTTCCCTAGCTACTTGCAGAGCAATCAAAGTGAAAACGCGTTGGAATCTATGTTTTATTTTATTGAACATCAAATTCTTTCTTATAAGCTGATTGGCCAGCCTCTAGGGCCAAGTTGTGAACAAGAGAAGATGGATAGATTACAGAATTTTCAAACCAGAGAGAAAATAATAATAATAATTAAACTACAATTTGCTCTCACTTTTCGTGTTTCGTGTCTTTTTTAAAATTTTGTCTCTTTCTTTCTAATTTGACTATTTCTTTTATTTACGTGACATCGAACAATGTGGCTCTCGTGGATTGCAGGTCAAAGTGTAAAGAACCTTGGGATACACCACCCCAAAAGCTAGCTCAAAGGGTGGGAGTGCCCAAGGCCTTATAAACTCCACATTAGTTGCACATACAACCAATGTGGGGACTATATATCTCAACATGCCCCCTCACACGAGAGCCCACTGGGCTTGAAGGGTGGACAATGCACAGGCCAATTTTTGGTGTACCTTTTGTGCTTTTTTATTTTAATTCCACTTTAAAGTGGGAGGCGGTGAGGATCAAGCTCTGATACCATGTAAAGAACCTTGGGATACACCACCCCAAAAGCTAGCTCAAAGGGTGGGAGTGCCCAAGGCCTTATAAACTCCACATTAGTTGCACATACAACCAATGTGAGGACTATATATCTCAACACAAAGCAATTGAATCAATGCACTTGAAGTAATTCTATAAATTATGTATGAACTATAGCATCTAGGTAAGAAATAATCTGAACCGTTCACGTCTCTGCATATGGAGAGCATGATTGATTAAATTGCTGCGCCATTAATGTTTTTTTTCTCGTGGTTCACATCTTCGTATATCAGATAAGCTTTGGACCGTCATTGCCCAGTTCCAAGCCTCTATTAATATCAGATAAGCTTTTATTGATCTTCATGCTGAGCTGAAGTAACAAACAATTATCTTTAACATAATTTTGGACTATTTGAGACCATTTTGTTATACAGAAACGAATAAATAAAATTATTATATAATATATATATATATATATATATATATATATATATATATATATATGGGATAGGATCAATTTAAATAATTATTAATATAATATCATCTAACAGCTTAAATTCTTGAGTTAAAATAATTGTTTATATTATAGAGTTTCTTAACACAGTATATGAGACCAGGTAAAAGAGATATAATATAAAAATCATTGATGAACCTTCATAAGATATAATATAAAAATCATTGATGGACCTTCATTTAATCGCTTACAAATAATATTTTACATAATATCAAAGCCACTAAGTGGTCATGAACTCGATCTCATTGTCCGCATTCTATTTATAAAAATTATTAAATATTATGAAATTTATTAGCATAGATAAATTGAGTATGATGCATTATTCACTCTTTAAGTCCAATCGGATCTCGTATGAATAGACCTATTAGAAAAATTAAAATCATTAACATTATAACCTCGTTGAAATGGTTGTTGTTATATATATATATTCAAAGCTTATTTTCCTGCAACACATTCAAATAATTGGAGCATGAAAAAATATATATATCAACTTTTTAGAGCATGAGCAGTTTCGGGCATTCCGACAAGTAATGTTGTGAAATTTTTTAGAGTTCCTGATTGAAGTTTTTTTTTTTTTTTTAAGAATTACACATCATCTTCGTATAGAAGCTATATATGGAACGTGTTTTTCTTTTAAAATCACAAAGATGGGGGAATGAAATGCAATTTATAAAGTATTCCTTATGTTACTCTCTAGATCTTGTGATAAAAGAAGAGGGTAGTAAAAAAAAAAAATTACTCTTATGATATTGGAGAATAACTTTTTTTTCTATATACCCATCAAATTTCGTGTAGCTTAGTTTTTTTTTATGCGTGAGTGGTCGACCTCATTTATAACTGTGTCTACTGTCTATGATGAATAAATCTGTGGTGTTACTGTTGCACCAAAGATTCAGTACATCCCACCAATAGAAATATTACATGTCACGTAAAGTTTTCTTTTTTTGTCAAATTTTTTCTCTCTCCTATGATGTGTAATACTTTCATCGGTGAGATGTACTGAATCTTGGTGCAACAATAACACCAAAAATTTATTCGTCTATAATAGGAGAGAAAAAGAAACATAAAAATAAAAAAACTCAGAACCTATGCCCTCCAAATTACGTAAGTAAAAAGAAAAACAAAATTCTCATTCCACGATTTTCAATATACAAAAATAAAAAATAAAAAAGGAGAGAGAGAGAGAGCGCTTAACAAGGTTGACCACCAGAGCTCGTCCTCCGCCGTTTAGATGGAAAAAGCTGCCGGAAACCACCGTTGACCATGGTGGAAACATGCCACTCATCAAAACCAAACTTTTGGACAGTGGATACTTCATATAGGTCACCGTCCGGTAAACCACCGGCGTCATGGCATGGCTGTTTCGCCTTTCGACGGCCAGCCCCTACGGGGACGTTGCGGAGGGCTCCGCCGGCGGTCCAGTATCTCAGGCAGCCCTTGCAGAAATGCCTAGGCTGATTAACGTTGTAGTTATTGAAATAACAGAACTTGGTTTCCATGCTCTTGCATCTTGGGCACTGTATGGTCTTATCTGCAGGCCTCTTCTCCTCTGTCCCTTCTTCACTGCTCTTTTTATCTTCGTTTCTTTGTCTACCATGCAACGTTATTCTTGTGCCAAACAGCTTAATCCCTTCACCGTCTTGGCCAATATCTACTTGATCCATTTCAAAGAGAGAGAGAGTGAAGAGGGTGGTGGTTGGGGATGAGGAGGAAAGATTTGTGGAAGAGTGTTTTTATATACATAGGACTTAGGAGGGATCAAGCTGAAAGTGTTTAATAGTTAGCACTTTGCACAATCATAAATTAAACCCATCGGTTCATGGCATAAAATCCATGTGATAAACGCTAAAACAAAGGTGGACTTTAATTTGAGGGTTTATCGTCTATCATTTAACATGACCACAAAAAATGTTTTACATACACAACATTTTGTGGGACCCGCAGCAAAAAAAAAAAAAATTTGGCACGCAAAACGAATCTTTATAACATAACACAATCACTTTTCCTCGAACATAACTCTTATAAAATCCTTAATTTAAACTGCGTTGCGAAAATTAAACTAAAGTAAAGAGAAAAAAAAGAAGAAAAGTGAATAAGGGTTTGCGGGAGTGTAAAAGCTAAGGATGAGCTTTTTTGTACACATCACTAGTCTACGTCATGATCATCTAGTGCTAAAATGTGTACAAACCTGGCCCAATCCAGGTAGATCGCTTACAAAGTGCAAAAGGTTGTTGTGTTTAAATTCTACAATTGTATTCTATTTTAAAAAGTGTGCGACCTCAGATATATTATATACTACCGTAAAAGTAGGGCTGACTACACGACACAAATATAAATATAATTAAGAGGAAAGTGCTAAGAAATTTAACGTCTATTCATTTAATTAAAATCATGATCCGTCACAGATTTAAAAAAGACTTACGTTAGTCTCTCAAATAAATTAAAATGGATCCACTTTAAATTTTATAAGAACCAGACGACTAATTTTTTTTGTAAGAGACTAAAATCAAGATCGTGTTTTTTGTTGGTGACCCAAAAAAAATTTTACTCTATAATTAACAAACACAACAGGACTAGAATTTAAAATCAGGTTGAAATTTTCAACACGAAGACAACCAGTTTATTTTGTGGGTTGACACAACACGATACAATAACTTAAAATTTTCAAAAGTGTGTTATTTATTATGTAAGTATATATGATATAATAACATGTTTACAGTACGAATAACATGTAAGAATATTAATGTGAGCTAATTTTGTGTTTGTGAGTTGATACGTGACAAAGTATAAATTTTTTCATATCAAATTTTATTAACACGACTATGATATGAATTTGAAAATGGGTTAATCTGAATCCAATTTTTTTTTTTTATGTCAGTACGTCATGTTGAAAATTGCCAATCTGCTTCTCTTCCTATTAGTTTCTTTTTTTTTTTTTTTCGTTAAAAGTTTCAAGAATGAAAATAAATGTATTTTCTAGATTATTTGTTTCTTTGATGTGTCTGAATGCATTGATGATGCATTGTCTTTTTGTGTGGAAATTTGCTACTGTAGCTTTGAAAATAAGGATGCTCGCCGAACATAACAGATAATTAAGTAATGCTCAAATGCTCTACAGAATGATTCGTTATTTGTTAAGTTATTGGTTGGGTATGCATGGGTGATGCTATCCTCCGCTCGAGTGTACGTGTGAGCACAGCCACGTGTTGGTTTAATACTAAATTATGCTGGACTTAAGATAGATTAAAAAAATGATAAATAATACGAATATATTTTTCTAAAATGAATTATGAATATATATATTGTCAGTCGTTTATTTATTTATTTTTTAATTTTTTAAGCAATTAAATATAAGACGTTAATAACGATTTGTTGTAAAAATGTTCTTATCAAATCACATGCTCAACCTTTCGATCGTTTTGTAGAATTTTCGCCTGTCAATGTTTGGTAAATGTCATTCCTCGGGCTTGATTTAGACTTTCAATATCCTAGTGATGATTAATTCCAAGGCCTGGGTATCGGAGCCCAAAGAAACTAGCATGATTAAGGATTTTTTTTTATTTTAAAAAAATTAAATTTAAAATGGTTTTGATTTTTATTTTTTTTAGAAGTTAAAAACAATTTTGTTTGAAAAAGAAATAACTATAAAATCTGATAAAATTCTAATACAATACTATGTTTGATATAATATTATGGGGTAAGATATTGTAACAAATCAATTAGTGTTACTACCAATGTTACTACCAATCAATTTTCCCGTTAGATCGATTATGTTGATCCAACGATTATATTTATTTTCATTTTTGTATGGTTATGATTCCCCATATTTCATGTAAAAGCATTGAATATAGGAAATCATAACCACACAAAGGTGGAAATAAATATAAAGTATCAAATATGGAGAATCATAATCATACAAAGATGAAAATAAATATAACCATTAGATCAACATAATTGATCTAACGGTGAAATTGATTGGTAGTAACACTAACTGGTTTATCCTTCCCCTTTTATAATATGTAAAAGTCTCATACATAATCTTAACAAAATCACAATATATTTAATTTTGAAATAAAAATATATTTAAATATATTAATTTTATGATATCGATTAACTCATTACTCACATCTAACATTAAGAAAGTATCGAGACTGAGAAACTTCAAAGGAATTTTATTTAGGGAGATATCGAAGATAAAAGAAGACACCATCTTATCTCTTGGGAGCAACTCTCTCTTCCAAAGGATTCTAGTGTCTGGGAATTATCAATCTTAGAAAGCACAATGAGGTTTTTTTTCACAAATCTTCC